TGCTGACTTCCAGTACTAATAGCTAGTATGTAATGCTGACTTCCAGTACTGGAAGGGAGACACTTCAAGGGGTCTACAGGAATCTAGAAAGGGTATCAGTGAAATTATAAATATTGAAGTTATAACCTGTTACTCCCTCTTTAAGACTGATGAAACTAACCTGCTGGGTGTTCAAAACCAAAAACTTGGAGACCAAAGTCAAGGAAGCAAAGGCCCGAGGAAAAAGCAGCCAGTTTTGGCCCTTGCCCTCTCAGGTCAGCCAGGACCCAGAGGATGACGGAACCCCTCTCTGGGCCCTGCACCTGTGGGGAGTCGTCTGATCTGCTGATCAGGTGGACCAGGGGACCCTGGAGAACAGGAAGCCAACCAGTGCTCATTCTGCAGATAGGACCATCTCTGGAGGCAGGAATGTCCCTGGTTCTTCTAAGAGAAGCCACGTATGGTCAGCCAGACCCTGACCCCTCCTGGCAAGTGGCACCACTGGTAGAGGAAAGCTAAAGGGGCCAGGGGCCTCTCTCCTGTCCCCAGGGCTTTGGTAACAAGCCCAGGCTTCCCCTTGGCTCCCGGGGTGTGCCTGTCTGAGAAACCCCACCAGGACCTGGCCCTCACCCTCCCTCTCCCTCTGGCCGGCCACCTTCCCACATTGGGCACCAGGTGCCTTGGGCACTTGGCTGTTCTGGGCATGGGCTCGGGCCTGGGCGGGGTTAAGTGCAGAGGGCTCCCCACGGGTGAGCAAGAGGAGTACCATGTGGGGCAACCCAAGGTGGAGAAAACGGGGGTCAGGACCTGGAGATGTGGCCTGTGGCCAAAGCCTCAGTCCCATGGTGGGACTGGCCAGCCCACCTGCCGCTTGCCCAGAGCGCCACCCAGACCTGCAGGGACAGGCTGATGAGAAGCCTGCAGGAGGCTGCTGCCGGGGACCAGTCCTGCTGAGCTCCTTCAGCCGTCCCCTGGAGGTAGCAGTCCCGACCCCTTCCTACAGGCAGGCCCTGGAGCCCGCGGGAGCCAAGGGGCAGAGTCCCTCACGGCACAGGCCTGGGGCAGGTGCACCCTCTGGACAAGGTCCCTGCCTGGCTGCCTGGGTAGCTGAGTGGGCACCCCAGGCCCACAGTGGCAGAGGGTGCTGGACACCAGCTGCCTGGCACCTGCCCTGGGAGGTGGTCCAGCCAGAGTGATGGCTAAGCTCTTTTCTCTTTACATCTGAGAGGAGTGGGAACCTCTGTCCAGATGCAGCTGGATCCTCAGGGGACCCAGGACACAGGCATGGGGGCCGTGTCCACCTTGGCGAATCCTTGATGGAGCCTGCCTTGTCCTGCCCCGGGGAGACACTTCCAGGGGTCGACAGGAATGTGGAAATCTGCTCTGTGCCTGCAGCCCCTGTTGGCCGTGGACAGTTGCAGCTGAGCACCGACCTTAGGTGGGGGTGGCCCTGGGGGTCATCTGTGCTTTTCCTAATCAGGGGTCATTAGCCCCTTGAGGCCTGCCTGGCCCCCCTAGACTGGGCAGGCCAGAAATAGGGCTTTGGGCTTTCAGCATCGGCCCATGCTGGACTCCTGCCCAGGCACAGGGGCAGGGAATGGTGTCTGGAGGCCCCTGTGCTGATGTGGACCCCACTGCTTCTTGAGGTTCACTCCTTTTGGGGTGAGTTGGCTGTGAGCTGAGGCAGAGGCACACCAGGCCTCAAGAACCACACCCTGTAGGTCCAGGGTCGAGGCACCAGGTGCTCCAGGTGACAAACCCCACGGGAACCTTAGCTCTCCAGTTGCCCCCGTGGGCAGAGATCACATGGTTGGAAGAGGATTCGGGCTGCCATCCAAGGATCCACAGTCCCGCTGAGTTGCACCTCCTCCAGGCAATGCCCGCCTTCCCCTGGGCTGAAGTCAGGGACAGTCTCGACTCTCAGTGTCCCCAGGCCCACAGGTGACACTTCCTCAGCTCGACCCACTTGGCAGATGAGCACCGTGGCTGAGGGGTTGGCCTGTGGAGCCAGGCTATCACCTGGAGGGTGTCGGGTACCTCACCAGGATCACCCTGAACTGGAAGATCAATGCCCTGTGACAAGGGCTAAAGCCCAACTGTCCTGCTTGGTGCCCCGGAGAGGACCAGAAGGTCCCCCGCCAGCGTGAGGGAGGACAGACACCGCTGAGACCCGCTGACGTCCTGGGCACACCACCCACCTCCCATACCACCAAGGACGACCCATGTCCAGAGGCATCCCTGAGCCCCACAGGAGGACTCCCAGCTGACCACTGCCACAGAGCACCAGGAGCTCTGGGTGTCCAAGGTCCAGGCTGGGAGGGATTCCTGCTGGTGATGAACACCAGGTCCAGGTGCACAGGACCACTGCTCTGGGACCAGAGTGCCTGTGGAGATGGTGACCCTGAGGGACAGGTCTCACAGAGGGCAGCTTTAACCTTTTCCACCCCAGCCAATGTCTAGAACAGGGAGAAGGCCATGGCTGGGCACCCCAAGTTCTCCACCCATCTCCTTCACCACTCGTCTGTACCCCTCTCCATCCCACCTCTCCATCCTCACCCTCCTCCACCCCTACCTTCCTCCATCCCTCCTCCTCCTCCCACCTTCTTCATCCCAACCCCGTCCCCGGTGGGCAGGAGCCTGAGAGTGCCTCCCTTTCCTGGTGGGAGCAGCCTGTGCGGTTCCTCATCAGACCCCGAGGCACAGGGATCTGGCCCAGCTCCGACCGGCAGCCCCAGCCTGCCCTGGCCTGCCTGCCGCGTGGCCCTCCTCGAGCGGCTCTGGGCTACCTTCTGGACTGGGTCTCAGCTGCCCCCCGGCCTGGTCTTCAGTCTGAGCCTGTCGGCTGTGTGCAGAGGACAGTGGCTGGTGCTGACGGCCACCTGCTGTCAGGGGAAGTGTCCTGGGTCAGCACTGCCCGAGTCCCCCAGCAGCCCTGGGCTGGCTCCGATGAACAGGCTTGACAGACAGGTGGACTGGCCTCCAAGCCCTGCGCTCCAGCCACCTGACTGCCCGGCACCCTCCAGGGCCCGTGGACAGCGGAGCCTGGGGCATCAGGGAGCTGGCAGCCTCTCAGGGCCTCTGTTGCCCTTAGGTTAAGGACCCCTGGGCCTTGAGGGACAGCAGCAGGGGCAGACACGGCACCCCTGTGGCACCCCTCAGAGCCACCTATGGGGCCTCCAGAGAGACACACCACCCTCCAGGACCTGGCATCCCGACCCACTCATGGGCGGCTCAGCTGAGCAGCCAGCACCCACACCACACAGCACACGCCAACAGCACACAGCACACGCCACACAGCACATACCACACGCCAACAGCATACACCACACGACACACAGCACTCTCCACACGCCACCCAGCACACACCACACGCCACACAGCACTCTCCATACAGCACACGCCACACGCACACGCCACACAGCACACAGCACACACCACACACCACACAGCACACACCACATGCCACACAGCACAAACTACACGCCAACAGCACATACCACACACCAACAGAACACACCACACGACACACAGCACTCTCCACACGACACACACCACACACCACACACCACATGGCACTCTCCACACAACACACAGCACACACCACACGCCACACAGCACACAACACACGCCACACAGCACACACCACACAGCATACACCAACAGGAC